TTCATCGTGCAGTCAAGCAGTCGCCAGGCATACACTGACTGCTCGAGCTGTCAACTGCTCTCGCGCAGCTACCTCCGCCCGCGCTCTTCATTCCACGTCACGCACGCATTTTCGCAACAACCAATTAACCAATTAAGCCAAAGTAGCAGAGCAGTGCTTCTTCCTCAAAATCCGCGTTGCTACTGATTTGAATGAAATTGAAATTGTAACTTGTTGAGTTGATACCAACTGCTGCAGTTTTAACTACTCCAGCAGTTATCAATGGCAGCCTCAAGCTGTTACTATGACTGCAAGAGTGGTCCGTGTATGTTGATCATTGGTTAACTGCTCGAGCAGGTACGTGTGGGGTGCGCTTAATATAATATATAATTACAAATTGTACAATTTTTAAATCCGATTTAGGTACGAACTGGAAGTTTGTCACATGATAATTCATGGTTAACATTGCATAAAACTGATTTAATAGCAAAACTAAGCAACTTAAAATAACTGTTTTTGTGGGGAACATTATGAATTAGAATACATAATAATCACGTGCTGTACTAAATTATATTTCAAAGAGTGTGTGTAGGTACATGCGTGCGTGCGTGCGTTCAAATAAATTATACTTTTTCGGACTAACTCTTGTATATGTCCTTTGTAACTTGTAATTTTTAATGTCATTTGTGCAATAAAGAATTAATTAAGTTACAAAACATGGCACACACCACGTGCGAAGTTGCCAGGGTGTGGCTTGTTTCAGTATTAAAATAATCGAGTTTTTTAAAAGCGTGCTAATAAAAACTCCGAAAAGAAAATTAAAAATGGGCTTATTCAAAATATGAAATATTACTGCGTTAGTTTCTTTTTATAATACCAAATGACTAGACAAACAAGTCGTGCGCCTGAGCCGAGAGATTTAACTCTTCCGTTGCGGCGTTCGTTAAATCGTTGCCACTGCGCCCGTCACTCTGACATATAAGTTGACAAGTCCCATGTGCCTGTAATTACACCAGCACCCTTACCCTTCAAAACCTGAACACAGTAAGGGTGACATTACTGCTTGGCGGCAGAAATAGGTGGTAGTACTTGCCTGAACTGTGCAAAAAATACGGAAATAACCGAATGAAATATTAAAAGTAGCAAAAAATCTTGCTGACGTGGTGACGTCCTTATCATAACTGCCACGCAGATGTCCCAGGTTTGATTCCCGGACCGGGAGAAATATTTGGATGGCATACATTTATTTCTCTCGCGAGTTTGGGTGTAATTTGTGGTTGTCTATGCGTGTGTCCGTGGCACCCGCGACACAGGGTTTCCCTAGTGCGGGGCTATGTTGAGTGTGTGTGCGTTATAATGTATGTACTCGTATAATCGACATTTTTAGCGAAATATGGTTTCGCTCATTCTAGATATGATTTATTAGTATCAGGGAAACGAGATCTATAATAACCCTCTGTAAGCGGTTTTTATATATTTGTAAGTCAATGGGTTTTTATATATTATTTACTTTCAACTTTGTTTTAAGCAACTTTGGCGTAATTGACATTTTTCAAAGAATAAAAAACTTTTTCATCTCACTAGCTCGGAAAGGCTTTCTTTCTCATTAGGAACCTGCGCGCAAAAGCGTTTTTTGCACGCTAGCGTTTTTTTGAAAAAAAAAAGAATAACACGTCCACCTACGCAATTTGTCGTACCTACGTTGCTTATTTAAGTAATATAAATACATATCGAGTTCTTAGGTTTTCGCGATTGTTACACATAGGAAATGAAACTATTTTCCACACCACACACAACACCGCCCGAAACGTCGGTTTGTTTGAAAAAACAAATATACGCGATTTAAATCCGGAAAAATAGTTTCATTTCCTAATATAAATACGTTGGTATATTTTATTCTTATTATTGTTGACATTGATAACCATTGACTTACAAATAAATGGACGACGGGTTTAATACAAAAACCACGAAAAAAATGTCCCAAGTCAACCTATTTAAACGTAGTGACATGTAAAGGAATATGAAAAAGCTAAAACGTTGAATTTAAATTGTAATGTCATCGCAGTACTGTCTAATTTTGCTTGCTTCGCTGTCAGTCGAACAAACGAAGACGCAGCGCGTAGGGCGGTTTACATCAATATTAGACATAACTGGTTGAAGACTGTACCACCTCAGTCAACCGTGACCATGGGACCTGTAAAGGGCCCGAAACGTCGGTTTGTTTGAAAAAACAAATATACGCGATTTAAATCCGGAAAAATAGTGTCATTTCCTATGTGTAACAATCGCGAAAACCTAAGAACAACTCAATTGATATTTTACCGAAAACTTTTTATCGTTGTTTTTATCGTAAATTACCTATTTATCAACTTAAAAGCGACCTTATGCGTTCATGATTTTTTAGTAGCAGTAGAGCTTCCTATGAAATAGTTCGTCCAAAGAAGTACTGCCACCTTACCTATTTCTGCCGCCAAGCAACATTGTTGTGGTTCACTTTTGAAGTAAGGGTGTTGGTGAAATTACAGCCACATGGGACTTGTCGACTTATGTCTCAGGGTGACGGGCGCAATGTTAGTGCCCGCCTCTCAGATTTTCGCGATCTAAAGCTCTAACTGGCACTGCAACTGTTATGGACAGGAGTGTAGTTTACCATCAGGCGCACGACATGTTCGTCTTGTCACTTGATATTATAAAAACATTGATACTTCATCATATGGAAATGCGATTCTGAGTGACTACATAGAAACCCCTAAGGGCTATATTATCAAAATATACTCATAATCAATCATTATATATAATAGTTACATGTGTATTGAAAATATTGACTACTAAAAAAACCGACCTCAAAAGTAATTCACCCCTAGTTTGCCACCCTTACATGTGGAATATTTCTTCAAATTTAAATGGGACCAATACTCTTTCCAGTAAAAAAAGAATCATCCAAATTGGTTCCCAAACATCTATCGCGTAACATACGTACAAAAAAGAACACAGTCGAATTGAGAACCTGTTCCTTTTTCAAAGTCGGTTAAAAATTATCCATAAAATAAAATAATATGACACACCGTGGATGGGTGCGGTTGGAAATAAGTAGAGGTGAGGGTAATTAATTTAAGTACAGAAAGACTACCGTATTTACATGAAAAAACTAACTACGAAAATGTAAACTTCTACTCTATATCGAACATATCCGTTACTTTCCTAAAAATGTTATTTTTGTCTTCATTATTAGGAATATATTTATTATTAATTAGATACCAGTGATTCGAATAGGTAGAATACCTATATCTAAATTCAAGGAACAGAGACATTATAATAATCTGCTACCTATCCCAAATAACGTCAATTTTTAATGTAAATAGGTACTTAAGTGATATCCCGAATCCTGAAAAAATCCGGGACAAAAAATTTTGTCGTAAGGTAGTCTCTACGTTTGTTCCTCGAATTTTAGATAAACATATTCTACCTATACCACTGTTAATTACGTCCTTTTATTACTGAGTTTTTAAGAAACATGGCTCCCGGTTACATTTGCAAAATCAGAACCGTGGCATGAAACATATGTATGGGTCTGCGTTGGAGGCCAGATGATACGCGACTATGTGTAGTACAAAGGAATTTTGTTAACAAAAGTGGCTGGACATGAACCAACGCGATATTCTTTGACATAACAAAATTGTTTTATTGATGAGTTTGCTATAGAAAGATATGTTACGAGTAGCTATGTTTGCACAGATGGACGGCGTACGAATTCTCACCTAATGCTGCCGTGAATTCTCACTTCACGTGGCATTGAGTATTTCATATTCTTGCAAACACTTCGTCATGCGTTTGGGTGCAGTATATCTTTGAAATTATTTGCCCATTCGACATATAGTAAGTGGCTTATCTACACGCATCACGCGAGTTTGTCGTTTTCTAATGCATGTCAAAGGCAGACAAATGTCTCAATTCAGACGATGATGATGATCACAATGGTCCTGGAATGTAGGTTTCTTTTAATGTGTGCCTAATAGTAGGTAGGTTTTGTGTTGTTTGTGGATATTATAAAATATTATTAAATAAATATTAAGCAACATTACGAACCGGACGCAGTTAATATAAGCAGTACTGTGTTTCGTTTTTGAAGGGTAAGGGTGCTAGTGAAATTAATGCATGTCCGAGCGCAGTGGCAGTGCCCGTAATAAGATTGTTGCGATTTAAATCTCTGAATGGCACTATAACTGTTAAGGATAGGCGTGTACCATCAGGCGCACAACTTGGTCGTCTCGTCACTTGATATTATAAAAAAAATCTGAAACAACGGCGGTACATACCATACACCATACACACCCAGACCTGAGACAATATAGAAAAGTTACTTTCTACATTGACCCAGCCGGGGATCGAACCCAGGACCTCAGCGATGGCGACGGTATGCAATCCACTCAACCACGGGGGTCATCAAACATGAACAAGTACACATTTTCAATTTACAAAACGTGCGTTCCGAAACTAACAGCCACTTGTCACGTATTTTTTTGCCTATCTAATGAATAAAGTTTGTTACATTTGAACGTTCCAATTGTAACACGGCCTGTTGACGATGAAGTATATTTTGTTAATTGGTCTTTGGCACCATGTATAATACATCAAATACAACAAACACACAATAGAAATGTCACCAAGTCTATTTTTTAGGAGGTCAAACAGGCAACATTCAGTAAATATGGCCGATTGACAGATGATCTCCGAGAAAAAAAAAATGAATGGTGTCAAAATTGCATAATCACTTCTAAACAATGATAATAGGAATAAAATGCCTATAAAATCGTGCTGAATTGTTTATTTATTTAAACTTTATTGCTCATAAAAATTGTTAACGTCTTATAAAAAAAACAAATTATGCTCGGCCTTTTCAATAAGTTAAAGAAACGAAGGCACAATGAATGTAGGCACAAAGCGAAAGTACAAAAGAAGCGCTAATTATAATATTCTTAACTATTCATGTTAAGCGTAATGGTGCTAGCGTAATTCAGCCGCGTTTTTTCCAACTAAATTAGTTTCCAGCTCAAGAAAACAGAAACGACCGTTTCATAAAATTGAGGACATGCTTGTGTCAAACGTAAAGTAACAAAACATATATGACCTTGCGTCAAAGAACTCCCGATGTTTTTACAAACGGCACTGCGTAATAAGTTTTATGTACTTGTAAGTTTATATGTTATAACCTTATAACTTAACGCTCCATAAGTTAAAGTCGCAGAAAACGTTACAGATAGCGAAGTTATGCCTCAACGCCTCGCGGATACCAACTTTATTACGTCATCAGTTGATAAACGGCTCTAGTGCTTAATAGACGTCTAGACCACGCTGAACGCGAGCTTCGTTCACATCACATGCAAGCTCCAAGGTTTGTACAAAAACTTCGCACGTCCTACTGACCTACCTCACTCAGATCGCACAACAACTTAAAAGTTAGAGACGTGGATGTAAATCAAATGGGATTAAAGTAGGCGAAACTCGTGTACCCTCGTCAGTAGACTTTTATAACTATCGTTATGTGACCTAGAGCTATAAAAGAGCGATGGTGCCTCGCACAGTCGCAGCACGTAGCGGTTCCGGCCTCGATTGCCAAGGTCATAACGCCGCCCGGCACAGCGAATGCCGCATAAACGGTCAATCTGCGCCGAATCTCATGCCCTCACCTAACGCAACTACAAGTCGACCTTACTCAATAAGGAAGGATCCCCGGACGAAAAACTTTTGTATCATTATTCACACATTCGTCACTTTACAGATCTGGAGATTTTCGCATACATCGCTCTTCCGCGGAACTCCCCGCAAAAAACGACCAAACAAAGTCTTCAAGCCCCGTGACACAGTTCGGATGCAGCGCGCGTGCTTGAGCCGGAAGTATAATGCGATTATCGATTTGCTTATGACCGAAAATGCGTTGAATGGATGAGAATGGAGAGGAGTGCGGGGGGCGGGACTGGCAGGAGGGGCGGAGGGAGCGGCCGCCGCCTCACTCGCGTCAGTGCGCCGAGAGGAGCGGGCTGCGCCAGTTGTCTCACGCAGCCCGCTAGTCGACAAATTCCGAGTGCAGTGCAAATGCTTGTGTTTATATGGCGCTCTTATTACTGCGAGTGTTGTTGCTGGGAGTGTTGGCGGCAGCGGCTAATGGTTAGTGTTGTTTCTGTGCTCAGTGGCCACGTGGTGTTTACAGCGGTCGGAGCATGCGCGCCGCTTGTTTGCGTCGACTACGGGTCAAACACCGGCCTAACCTACCAAAGCCTCTATCGTAATTGTGGTCCATCAAGTAAGTTTAGATATACCAGTGTAAGAGCGACGGGTCGGCGTGGTGATCGATACGATGGCAAGGTTCGACAAGGCAGCCTTCGCGTTTATTGTCCTAAATTAGTGATCGCCTTCGGTTCCAATTATTCTTCCGTTCCTTTCAATTGATTGGTACTTTCTCATCGTGGTGTGGGTTCCGCGTGTTTGTCCTTCGGGGACTCCGTTCTCTATTTACGTCCTTGATCTTCATCGCTACAAAGGCTAGCGCTGTCCTCATTTGCCCGCTCCATCTATTGTAGGTGCTTTAGCGACCACTTCCTATCGTATTACATTTGCGCCTAAATTATAGAGTCGTAAAAATAAGCGCGGCCTCTACTGTACCTGTGATATCTACTACACGTAACATAGCGTATATGCCGTCAGTGTATTTACGTTGAAAACTTCATCTGATTAGATTAAGCACCAGTTTCAAGTTTGGGGAAAGTTACCGGAATGTTGGGCGCCAACATTAGAAAGTGATTAATCGAGACAATAACAAGGAAGTTAACGTTTGTTTACTATCAACTATTAAGTTGTTTACATATCTAGTTACATTACAGTTGCAGTGAGAGGTACAATATCTTTCATAGCTATCAAATACTGCGTACTATTATTTTATTTACAATCTCAATTATGAATTCGCATTACAATTTTAATTTTATAATTTTTTCTTTTTTTTCTTTTAATAATCTATATAACACTGACGTCGGTCGGTACTAACACATGCGCACTACATTAACTTCACAAAGTTTTTTCATTTGATGCACCTCAACGCGATACCCACGAAGGTGGTGTCGGATAATCTCAGTACAGAGTACTAAAAAAACCGACCTCATAAGTACGTGGAATTACGTTTATTTGCTAAGTTTCATTGAAATATCCCCTAGTTCGCCACTATACAGGACTTAACACTGGAGATAATAGAAATCGGTTGTCACTACTCAAAGTAAATTGAGAGAAAAACGCCTTGGATTGGAGAAATAGCAAAATCAACCATTAAAATAATTGCTGGTTAGTAAAACTTAGGCGCTATTTATAAAAACGAATCTTCATGCGTGAACAGCCACCCTTAGAGGTGGATGGTTTTCTTCAAAATGAAATGGGATCACTATGGAAGTACCCCCTTCCCAACAAAAAAAGAATCGTGAAAATCGGTTCACAAATACCTGCGTGTTCAATATAATAACGGTTCCAGAATGCTGATGGGACTACCACGGCATTGTAGCGCATCCTCGATGTTTGCTCTAGCGGGAGTAGATGACTTTTTTGCTGTGATGCGAAACAAAAAGGCGTCACTACTCTCGAGACTGCGTTCTAGTTCTAACAGCATACTGAAAATGTTTGCGGCTAAGCTTGATGCGCCGATGCTTCAACATTTTATCTAGGTTCTGGTGAGATCATGAATGAGGTTATCGGCACCTCGAGCTGTAAGTTGCATATACGTGTTTCTTGTGTTTGTCAATGTATTGTCCCGTAAATTATACCTACTAACAATAGCATTAAGTTTAAATGTTCTGTATCTTTTTGTATTACTAACAAGTGGGCCATAGATGTCCAAATAAATGATTTATTATTATTATTATTATACCGGAGTTATCGCGTAAAATACATACAAAAAAAAACACAGTCGAATTGAGAACCTCTTCCTTTTTTGAAGTCGGTTAAAATCAGTGCTTTGCGTTTGTGTACATTTTGCACTGACCCACGAGCCTATTTGTCTTGCTGCAACACACACAAGCTGTTGATCATTTGGTTAGTATTGCTTTTTTTAATTTAATTTTTAGCTGTTTGTTTTTATTTCATTTTTCTTAATTTGTATTTCTATTTTTTTTTTAATCAATTTGTTTGCGTGATGCAAGAGAATAAACGATTTATCTATCTATTTAGTTGCCAATAACCTGCTGCGTGTGCTTGCATGCGTAACGCGATAGTTTCAAATTTAGTCTTTTTAGATTCATTTTACGATTAAAGCCTCTTAAAACACTAAAGAAGACTTAACTAGAGAACATTAATATCGTTAACATTACAAGCAACTGTTGATTCGTAGAACGTAAAATGTGATAAGTGAATGGAAGCCGACAAGATTGAGAACTGGGATAGGTAAAAAGAGCTGTAGCCGAGAAACTTTGGTAAAAAAAAATCTACCTGGCAGGGTCACGATCGCTATTTTTACAATAGCCCATGTATGTGATACATTTTGTTTCTTTTCTTAGGCCAAGTTAACACATTTAATCACTACAGAATATAAAAGTATTATATAGTGCAAAGTGAACATAAGTTATTAACATTGAGATGATAATTGAAAAATATTACATAATAATTTAAAAAAATAACGTTTGAAAAAGAAAGCTGTATAAATATTAAAGCTGATGCCAAAATGAAAGAATGGAAATTAATGAAAAAAAAATTCATCGTATAAAATCGCAAGCCTAAAAGAGATTGAAACCGTGTAAATATTAATGCGTAGAAACAAAAATTAATAATTGTGCCAGACAAACAGAGATTACATAGCGAATTCAATTATCTATAAAGACACCGAGTCTAGAAAACATTATTTTCGTAATCAATTAAGTCTGGATGGGAACCTAACACAGGGTCTGTAATGAGATATGCGAGTCATTGGTTTACTCACATATAAGGGCCATAAAAGGTAACGATTGTGAAGTTCAAACTTCAAAATTGAAAATGCCAAAAACAGAAATGAAATTACGCGATTTGTGTAATAGGAGAACTGTGGCTTCTCAAATAAGAGGGCTACGATTTGAACACTATAGCAACATGTGTGAACTATGACTTAAATTTTTAAGTTACTTCTATATAATACTTAAAGTCGAAGAAGATTCTCAACCTTTCGAAAACGTATGAAGGGGAACCTCTCGTATTGGCGGCGTACGATCGGAACCCTCTCATTTGAGGAGAGAATTGTCCAGCAGTGCGTTATTTAGTAGGTTAACGATGATAATGAAAAGAGTTTAAAGGATCAAAGTTAACTTAAGTCCCTAATAGCCAGCTAAAGTAACTGATAACCGTTGGTAAATCATCCACACTGCCTTTTTCGCTTTACGAAGTCTTTTTGATATATTATTATATCGCACTGGTAATACAATAGTGTATTAACTCAAAAAGGAGGACTTTTTCAGAATCGATGAAAAACGAATTACTACTTCCCGCAAAAAAGTTATTAAAATTTATATGTTATAGTTTATTATAGACACATGAACAATTTCTCAAATGTATTTTTAAAATAAAATGGAAAAAGTAATTTTAAAAACCGACGTTTCGGGCCCTTTACAGGTCTCATGGGTTTCCAAACAATATATACGCGATTTAAATCCGGAAAAGTAGTTTCATTTCCTAAGTAATTTTATGTTTTTTAATTAGGATCATTTTGGCCAGAACTAGTTCACATAAAGTGTGTCTCTGTTTGAGTTAAGTAGATATCTTTTGATTGTTTCTTACAATATTCTAACAACGGTTTTTTTGACGTGTAGAGAATCAAATTTTACGTTCAGTAATGATTATAATATTAAATTTCACATATTTTGAGTTACAACACTATTGTAATAGCAGTGCGATATGTATTCATGTGGAACTTATACGGTTATGGTAAGATTTAGTTACGTCCCTTGAATTTAAAAGAAGTTGGGTCATTTAATGGTAAATTAACGGTATTTCAAGCCAGTGTAGTAGAAAAGCGTTAAGAAAGATGATGTAGTGATCAGGGTGGAGAAAGTAATGCTCGATGGTTTGGTCATAGAAAGAAAGGTTGGATGTTAGTGGATTGACGACACAAAGTAAAGAGAATTCGGATGGAAACGTGGCTTTATCTATTCATAAATTGAAATATGAAATAAGTCATACAAGAATTTGTGTCGGTAGTTCCACCGATTAAAGAATTTATCTTGCAAGTTTAGTACTTCTAAATTTCCAAATTGTTTCATTAGAAGTACCTATATGTTCATTACAATGCAGGTTAATTTTGATTGGTACTCGTATAGATAGACTGTAACATGTTTCCTAGTTTGTCTGGTTTTCTTTGGGATGCATTTCGAAGAGTTCACACAAACTTTATGATTTAGTTCCACCCTCGCAATTCTTCGTTCGGTCTACTATAAACCCCGATATGCTCCATCTTTACGCTATTGGTTTACCACCTAATCTCACAAAGCGCTTTGCTTCATCCTTTCTCGTGCACCCTCGCAATTCTTCGTTCGGTCTACTATAAACCCCGATATGCTCCATCTTTACGCTATTGATTTACCACCTAATTTCACAAAGCGCTTTGCTTCATCCTTTCTCGTGCATACGACAAAGGAATACAATACCCTACCGGTATTTGTTTCCCTAAAGCTATAATTCAGGGCTATTCAAGGCTAGAATTATTAGGCATTTTTAGACGCGCAACTTCGTCAAGAAAAAACAAAATCTTTCCCTACTGATAAGTAAATAAGTATTTTCCAAGCTTCAAAGTAAAGAATCTTACTTCCTTTGAAAGGAAACTTTCAAACAAAATCCGATTACATTGGCGCGTTATAA